AAATAATCGGTTACATGTCATGACATAAAGTCATGCAGATTTTACAAAGTGAGATAAAGCGTTAAGTACTACTAAAATGTACTATAAACAACTGAATATTTCGCTTCGATTGACTTGAGTTAAGGTTGTAGGAGACCTCTAGCCACGTCCACCTTGATTTCCACGTCCTCGGTTTCCTCGACCACGAACGGTTGGTTGCCATTGTATCTCTCTAACCTTTGTTGATGGTTTAACGGGCCTTTTGCGAAGCATTTTTTTACCTGAAGGTGTCATAAGATCCATACAATCACACTCTTTGTCTGAATATGAGGAATCCTCTTTTTATTCCAAAGAAGTCAATGATGCAAACTTATTTGAACCAAGATCAGACTTTTCTCCACTTTTCCTGTGAACCGAAGAGTGTACAAGAGCAATAGTAGGGGTGGTAACTAATAAAGTTGCTGCAATCTCCCGTAAAGGAGACTCAAGTCTTGGTGGCACAATAGCCTCTATTGGATGTGTTGAAGAAACTATCACATTTTCTACTTCTAAGGACGTACTTAATGCAATTCCATCTTCCATGATAGTAGATGTAGTTGGATCAACAGTTGTTGGTTCATTAATTGGAAGGACAAGCTTGTTAGAAGTAAGTACCTCTTTACTTGTGGCAAGAACTGAAGTGTTCGTGACAGATTTAGTAGCACTAATAACCTCGTTGTCGATAACCGCTTTAACAGTCGCATCAACAACTACTTGAGGATCATTTAGTCCTTGTAAGCAACGCTTGATCTTGTGTCCAAGCTGTCCACACCTACTGCATTTAGAAGGCAGCCAAGCGTATTCTACATCAACCATAGAAATAAAACCGTTTTCATCACCGGTAGCAATTCTCGTTGGAAAAGCTTTGCTCAACTCAACCTCAACCAAAATTTTGGCTTCACCCATGAGTATGGGATCTAATCTAGGTTCGTGAGTTGCCATAGGAGCATCTAAACCCGAGGCTATATGACTGATTCCAGGAATAAAGTACAGAATGTTGGGTATTTACTTTAAGGTTACCCAAAGCGGAATAGTTTTGATCTCTGGGATAGTTAAGGATGCTGTTGGAGTCCAAGAATCAACAAACATCAAACAATCATCAACATGCCAGAGTCCTCTTTGGAGAACCCACTTCCTAGTTGATTCATCGGGAATATGGAAGAGATACGATTCACCAAGTTTCCTAATGGTGATTCTGCAATTTCTACCCCACAACTTATTGAAAACAACATAAATCAGACCCCCAGGGGGAGGGGAACATCTATAAAATTGGCCTAACACATACTCTTTCTGGTTTTCTAATCCTTGTAACAACACATGTTGTGGAATAGTTACCTTTGGAGTCCCATCTTCTAGATATTCCCTCTCAATTGCCCTGTTGAGGTTCCTTGAAGCTGGATTCATTTTTGCTGCCCAAGGGAATCGAAGATCATCTTCCATGGCTGCTAGTTTTTGTATAGGTCTTTGTGTATTCTGCAGTTTATGACTATGGTGACTTTCATTATTGTTAGCGACACACAGAGAAGGCCACATTTATGATGCTTCTTTGGAGTTGGAAGGAGCTTGTTGAGAAGCCGAGATAGTTGAGAAGTTCAATTTCTTAGCCTAAGCACTTTGTCTAGGAGGACAATGAAGCGAATCATGATCGAGGTTCTTACTAGAAACCTTCACGATACTAGCTGGTGCTAGCTCCACCAGTACAGGTTCCGGCTAGTTTTCTTTTGGAAGAGTCTCCTACTCGTCGACACACAAAGTCTCCTGCTCGTCATGAACAAGTGACTCCGATGCTTGACCAGGAGAAGGGGCAACGCCGTCAACAAGTGGTGTTGGGGTTTTCCCTTGTTTTCGATCCATGGCTCGCCTCTACTCTGGTGGTCCTCTCATCGATCGAAAATCACCAACCATAGCTGAATCTTCTCCGCCATCCAGTTCCCGAGCCTCACCGACGACCTCCGAACTCGTCGGTGGATTCGTCCAAGAAGCAACGATTTAGGTTTTTGTCTTTCGCCTTAAAAGAGAGAATTTGGGGGCGCGTGAGCTCCTGTACCATGTTTATCAAAATACTTTTTTTTTTTGAATCTGTTTATCAAAACACTTACTCTCCAAAAGAAACTTAATCATTGTTAGACGATAGAAAACCTATATA